TACTGCCTCTTAGGTTTCCTTTCCTGTGCCCTCACAGGATGCCTGATATATAGGCTGGTTACCTTGGCTAGGTGGTGACAGAAGTAGCATTTTGGATTTGGAATTAGAGTCCAGAGGAGGGCCACCCACATGATCCGGGGACTACAGGGCAGACCCTACACTGAAAGGCTGCAGGACCTAAACCTGTTCAGCCTCCACAAGAGAAGGCTGAGGGGGGACCTGGTGACTGTCTATAAACTCACTAGGGGGGACCAGAAGGGTTTAGGGGAGACACTGTTTCCCCTAGTGCCCCCTGGCATAACAAGGAACAATGGACACAAATTATTAGAGAGTAGATTTAGACTAGACATCCGCAAGAACTACTTCACAGTTAGGGCGGCTAGGAGCTGGAACCAACTTCCTAGGGAAGTGGTGCTGGCTCCTACCGTGGGGATCTTTAAGAAGAGGCTAGATGCCTACCTGGCTGGACTCATTTGAGTCCAGTCTTTTTCCCGCCCAGGCAGGGGGTCAGACTTGAAGATCTACAAGGTCCCTTCCCACCCTATTTCTATGATTTTATGACTTCTAGAATTACTTTGGGCTTGGAATTAGGTTTCAAAAGAAGCTGTATGGTCTCTGTGTCCCCTACTGATGTGTATGATTCTCAGTGTCAATAGGAGTCCTCCACAATACAACCTAGATGGGGAACTGACACTTCTGAGAAGACACCCCCAGCCCATCCCTCTCACTGTTAGGCTGCTGCAGAAAACACTGTGCTTCTGACTTAAACTATAATTGTAGTCTGCTGTGGCCCTCCTTTCTATTTTTTAAAAGAGTTCAGTCTTTAACTAGTTCTGTCTTGCCTCCTGTTTTAGTTGCGTGGTCAGTTTTTAATTGTGCAGTGTCTCATTAAGAAATGGGGTGCATCCTAAATAATGGCACATTTTGCTTATATTGAGCTAAGACTTGATATCTTTGCAATCAAACAATGAGACTCAAGGAAACAGGGCAGGATTTCCCTAGGCTGTGGGAGCTTTTGTGCAACGTGCATCTGTGAACTTAGAGCACATTGTCTAATGCTATTCCGTAAAGCAAAGTAATTTAGAGCAGTGGTAATGTGCCAAGATATTGCCACAGCTACCAGTCAAGCAGAGTGCAAGAATTTCTAATGCTGTTTTATAATCTTAGATTTCACTGGCAACACAGCATGTTTTCCAGACAGTAGTGGATTTGCTTTTGTGGCTTTGTCTCATTTTAGGTGTTGTATATTTTTTATAATATATTAACCATCTGACAGAGAACTTTATCCCTAACTGAAAACACTACCAGATCTCTTATATTTGAAATTATACGTACTATTCCTCCAAGCTAATGGTCTTCTCTGGCCTTGACATTACAAAGGACTCTTGAATCTGCAGAGGTATCTTTTGATTATAGTAGGTTTCTGTTGAGGGGCAATTGTAAATGACTTAGTGAAGTAACATAGGGCACTCTTCTTCAAAGATCAGCTTGAAAAAACCCCTCATAACTCACTTGTTTACAAGTCCTTGAAGGAGGAGTATTGATTGAGGTGCATAGTGAATGGTAATAAATAGCAATAAAATGGATTTTAACAACCTTTTAAATTCACAAGTTATTGTGAACACAGATGTTAGCCTTTAAATCAATACTCCATAAGACTCTGATCCCACAGTGGGAAGTGCTCTGGAGTCTGACTTCATGTCTTCTGCTAGCTTTAGGCCTCAGTTACTACCAATCAACTTTCTTACATGGGGGGGGGGGGG